GATAAGACCACCCAAGTTTTAAATACCGCTAATGGCAAAAGACTTTTAATCAATTATAAGCTTTCTGAAGCTGCCATTTTCAACAACGGAGCTTGTTTCTTGATGTCATTTATTATGGTAAAAGGTCTAGCTCAAGAAATAATTTTAGGAACTCCTTTCTTGAGTCTTTTTTATCCCATAAAATCTTTAGATTCTTCAGCAATTAAATCTGAGATCCAAGGTCATAAAGTTAAGTTTGAATTTATTGACAAACCAAAATTAAAAGAAATTAATCAAGTTATGGTTTTAAAAAGAAATAAAGAATCTTTACTCCATACGCTTAAGCAAGAGATTTTAACCAAACAAATACAAGAAAAAGTTAACAGTGCCTTAATCCAAGAGAAAAGTGTACAATTTAAAAATAAACTTGAGAAAGAAGTTTGTGATGAAATCTTAAATGCTTTTTTGGAAAGAAAAAGACATATTATTGAATTACCTTAAGAGCCTGATTTCAATGAAAAAATCATCCCTACCAAATCAAGGCCTATCCAAATGAATAGCCGCCTCTTAAAAATTTGCAAAAAAAGAAATCCAAGATCTTCTTAATAAGAAACTAATTAGTAATTCCTATTCACCACAGCTTTTTATGTTGAAAAACCTTTGAAAAAGAAAGAGGAGTACCATGACTTGTTATTAATTATAAGCTTTTAAATAAAACCTTGAGATGGATTAGATATCCATCCCTAAAAAGAGGGGTTTACTTAATCGACTTTATGAAGTACAAATATTTTCAAAATTTAATATGAAAACTAGATTCTGCCAAATTCAAATTGCAGAAAAAGATAGATGTAAAACCACATTTACTACACCATTTGGATATTATGAATGGAATATAATGCCATTTGGATTAAAGAATGCTCCCTCTGAATTCCAACACATTATGAATGATATATTCACACCATTCACCCAATTTATGATTGTTTATATTGATGATGTCTGAGTTTCTTCTGATTCAATAGAGCAACATTGAAAATATCTCACAATCTTTTTGCAGGCAATTAAAAGTGCAGGACTAGTCCTATCTGGAAAGAAAATTCAATTATTCCAAACAAAAATTCAATTTTTAGGTTACAATATCCATAACCATTCTATCATCCCCATAGATAGGGCAATCAGTTTTGCACAACATTTTTCTGATGAAATCAAAGATCGAATACAATTACAACAATTTTTGGGGAGTCTTAGTTACATTTCTGACTTTTACAAAAATATTGCCAAAGACTGTGCTATACTTTATGATCGCTTAAAAAGAATTCTCCAGAATGGGGGGAAGAACATACTTTAGTTGTTCGTAAAATAAAACTTAAAGCAAAAGAATTACCATATCTTGCAATTCCACATCCTAAAGCTTTCAAAATTATAGAAACTGAGGCATCTGAAATTGGTTTTGGAGGTATTCTAAAGCAAACAATAACTGATTAAAACAATGAACAATTAGTAAGATTTTTGTCTAAAAAGTGGAATGATACGCAAAAAAACTATTCTAGTATAAAAAAGGAGATCCTCTCTATTGTTTGTTGTGTTTTAAAATTCGAAGATGATATTTTTAATCAAACGTTCTTAATCAGAACAGACTGCAAAGCAGCCAAAGATGTTATTGAAAAAGATGTTAAAATCTTAGTCTCAAAACAGATATTGCAAGTGGGCAGGCCATACTAGCCACCTTCGATTTTGATATCCAACATATTGCCGGAAACGCTAACTCTCTACCTGATTTTTTAACACGAGAATTCCTTCAAGGCAATCAAGGGAAAAGAACAGATGAAAATTCCAGGCGAGACCTCAAGGTAGGTCAACCTTAAAGAAAATAGTCCTAGTACATCTGAAGACTTAGTACAGTCTACTGAAAATTCAGAATATTGGGATATCTCCTTATTATATCAATTGATAATATTCACCTTCATCTCAATACAGATGAAATCGCAAAAATTTATCTAGTCAATCATATGCATCCAAGAGATGAGTTTAAACCACAACTCTTTTACAAAACGATCCTAAAAGAAACATGATCTGTAGAAATTATCCGGAAAGGGGACATGATATTGTTGCTCATTCTAAATTTAGAATAAAGAAAGTTCTGGCCTATAAGGATTGGGGATTTGATCCCCTTAAACCTTAATATTTTAAACATAGCTACTCTAAAATCAAGAGTTACATTATATTGAAGCATGGGAAAAGACTGTTATTTCAGAATAAGCAGAATACCCATAGCTGGTTTATCATATTCAGGCTTAATGAAGCCCTTCAAGAAATTCCTTCATGGTTTAAAAAATGGATGTTATACTGGGGTCCTGCCCCAGATATTTATCCTCAACCATTATAATGTTTCTTGTCTAAATTCTAAGCAACCAATAGAAATTAGTCGAAACTTGAAATATTAATCTGTTTTACCACCTTATATGAAATCCCATGGATACTCAGGTGGACCTATTCAATTATCGAAGATGATGAAAATTGGGACTATATTCCCCATCTAGAAAGAAATGTACAAAGAAAATGATCGGACAACTTTGATATCAAAGACTTAATCCCTGAAACCATCAAAATTATTAAGATCAAGGTTAATACACCAAGACTTGGTCAACCGACTGGAACAGCCTCATACTTAAGGCTCCTACAATTCAAAAATCCTGAATTATCAAAGGAAGAGCTTCGAAAAAAGCTACTATCTATGTTTGACAACGAGGAAGAATTCATGTCAATTAGCGAAGACGATAGAGACCAAAATGAAGACGATAGTGCTGAAATTTTGCTACTACTCAATTAATTGGCCAGGACGACTCCACCAAACTTCAGGACACATGGCTCACCAAAAATACTTTTACTAAAGTAAAAAAATTTTATCCTACGGCTCAGATCTTGCCAACAAAAATAAAAGGGACAGCTGTTACTATTCATAAACTTTCTACGTGGTAAGGATCACCGACGCTACCGACACCCATTATCCTTCACCTTTCCACATGGAAGATTATAAATGGACTGACATTCCCAGATAAAGAAAATTAGACTAAAAGAAATTTGAAGTCCGAAGCTATAAGTGGAGGATCTCCCCCTCTTCAGAGGACACCTCTCTTTGGAGTCCGCTTAGTCTTCTCTGCTCAATCTATCCTATTTCTTTCTCTCTAAGATTGTAAAAAGGTTTTGAGCATATTGGTGTGCTGGTGTGATTTGCTAGTGAAGATTGGTGTGTTGGTGTGGTTTGCTAGTGTGGTTTTTATCTTATGTAAGTACTTTGTTTCTATATTGAAGTTTGTATTAATCTTAGTCGGCATTAATATTACTGTTTTGGCTTTAATTCTTTATTTTATTTGTCATTTAATGTTAATTTGAAATTCCGCTTGACGTACTCAAATTGGTATCATATATAATGTAATATATAAACTAATGTAAAGTATAATATTATATTATATAACATTATATATTGTATTATACTAATACCAGTACTATGTATTATAATATATAATCTAATATAAAGTATAATATTGTCTCTGAGATTGAAGGCTCAAAGGACCCTCAATGTAGGAATTGGAGAGAAGAGGAGAGCTTGATAAGTCTTACTGAAACTGAGAGAACCGAGAGCTTCAACAATATACTAAAAATTAAACTGCTAGCGAGCTCCATCAATGAGCAGCCCGTCTAGCTCATTTGGTAGAGCACAAGGCCCCTAACCTTGTGGCCGTTGTTTCGAACCCCACAGGGGGTGTGATTGTGTTCCTGTTATAAAGTATTTTGTATCTTTTATTTATATTATATTATACTAATATTAATATTATGTATTATATTATAATAATATATTATTTATATACCATAGCAAGAGGGTATCACACAGCGGTGAGCAAGAATCATTTCGGAGTATCATACTAATATTAATATTATATATTATATTATAATAATATACTATTTATATACCATAGCAAGAGGGTTTCACACAGTGGTGAGCAAGAATCATTTCGAAAATTTGTTCAATACAGGTTACTGCAAAAAATTTAAGTCCACCATTTTTAAGAAATATAAATTCAACTTATTTCGGTAGAATGGAAAATTTAAGTCCATCCGTTTTAAGAAATATGAATTCAACTTATTTCGGTAGAATTAAACATTTCCAGCTAGAAAGCCTTGTTCTCTATAGCTTACTGCAAAAAATTTAAGTCCATCGTTTTTATGAAATATGAATTCAACTTATTTAGGTAGAATTAAACATTTCCAACTATTTCGTTTTAAAAGGTGGAAAAATGAATTCTTACGGAAATGTGAACCCCTCCATCAAAGTGCATCCAAACACGGTTTTTTGACACATTTTATTGAAATGTGAGTCCCATAAATCTGAATCCAGGGGACCAAACGGGCTATATAACGGTCATTTCCTCACATGAGGTACGACGAATCATCATCCTCAGAGCCTTTTTCCCAACTATTTGAGTTCGGCTACATATATTCATATTCATGAAAGGAAAAGGATTTGTACGCCCGCTCTCGTATGGGGTTTCGTACTCCAATGGTTGTGATTTTAAATCCCAAGAGCCTTGCAGTATTGAAAAGAAACCAACTGACAGTGGCGTCCCGTCTCTCCCACTCGAGCGATGTAACTCTCTCTCTCTCCATCTCCCGCCCACCTCTCTCTCTCTTAAGCTCTGTAACTCATCTCTCTCCGTCTCTCTCTGGTTGGACCCTCTCTCTCAAACCCTCGATGACCCTCTCTCTCAAATCCTCGCTGATCCGCTGCCCCTCTCTCTTAATCTCTCTGAAACGCGTCCCTCTCTTTCAATCTCTCTCCTGCCTACCCCTCTCTATACATCTCTCGTTGCCTGTCCCTCTCATTTTGGGGTTTTGGTTGTTTTGAGTTTTGGAGGTCTGATACAGTTACAAAGCCAATTGAAGCTATGATAGCAGTCATGGCTAAGGCAGATGTCGATGATGATGTCTTGGGTTTCGACCCAAAAGCTTAGAAGCTCGAAACCGAAATGGCAAGAATTCTGGATAAAGAAACAGTCATTTTTGTGCCTTTTGGTACAATGAGCAATCTCATTAGTGTTATGGTTCACTGTGAGATTAGAGGAAGTGAAGTGATTCTTGGAGATCAAAGCCATATTCATCTTTTAGAGAATGGAGGGATTTCGACAATTGGATGTGCTCATTCAAGAACAGTTCCGAGCAATTTGGATAGAACCATGGATATCAATTTTATTGAACCTGCAATCAAGGATTCTGCAGAGGCCATGTGTTATCCGACTACACGTCTTATTTTCTTGAAGAATATGCATGCTAAGTATGTTTCTCTTCTGGTTTGATGGCTGAAATTTGGGCAATAAAATTTTGGACTGGGTAATTAAATTTTGGAGTTCTTATATGCTCTTTTTTTTTTTTTCTAATGGATAGTGTATTCTTGGGGTGCTGTGTCGAATTGGATTTTAAGATTATTACTGTTTGATAGGCAATTATTTTAGTGTTTGATGATTTCTCTAGATGCCGATCCCAAATAAAAGAGAAGAAATAACGATTTGGTTGGGTTTTTTTTTCTGTAATTGTGATTTTAGAATTTGTTGAACTTTTGTAATATTTATGCTGAACCTGCTTTCAATATTTTATTTTGCTGAACTTTTGTAATATTTATGCTGAGCCTGCTTTCAATATTTTATAATAAATTCCTTTAGTAGCATGTGCTTAATTAGCAATTCTTGTATTGTGTCCACGGCTCTAAGCTGAAATCACGTGAATTTGTAAATGCCACTTTATATAAAAGTAAACTTTAAATGCTAAATCAATGTATCTAACGGTAAGCCAAATTTTTTCGTATTCTGGTATTCAGACCAATTTTATATTGCCCATTAATTTGACTGGCTTTTTGGCAGTTTCATTTTTTCTTTTTCTTTTTCTTTGAGATCGATGTATAGAGACGAAGGATTTAACGGAATATATTCACTTTTGTTCTCGAATCATGATCTGCTGCTCAGTGAGGCTCCATTAGCTTCCTTTTTTTATTTTTCTTAATGAAAATGACATGGTCTCAGGTCAATCGATGTTGCATACTCGTGATTACCAATGAGACCATGATAATAAAACATTGTGAATACTATTTGAATTAATCTAGTTAACCTCTTGTGGGCAGAAGCAAAATATTGTGAATACCATTTGAATTAATTTGGTTTTTGTGCCCTTTTCATCATGTGAAGAAGATTCAGTCTAATTATGATTATGGGTGCACTTCAATATAGATATTGTGGACCTAGAGGTGTTTTAAGAATATGGAATTGGGTATCACAACATCCACTCTTTTCTGGTTGTGGGTGGATGGGATCCTTGTATTTCAATCTCATAGTTTGGCTTTTGTGCTTTTGCTCTCATATAGTTCAATTATTATTAATTTGCGATTCGGAACTGTATATGGTCTTCAGACTTCTGTGAGAGCCTGCATAATGGTATACTCTAGTTTGTCTTCAAGTTTTGGTATTTGTTAGAAACAACATATTTTTTTTATCAAATCAAAACAAAAAGATGCTGGGTCCATTAGAATGTGACACCCTTTTTGTGACTACTTTTTCCAATTTTTGAAACATCAAACATTAAGAACTTAGATTTTACTGCAAACATTGAAGGGTGGACACCTTCCTCGCATTTGAGTTCTCATTTGGATGAACAAACTAGTTTCTTGTATCCTTTGCTGATGCTCTTTAATGTTTCTCTTGGAATTGAGTATCTAGCCATGTTTGCCAATTATGAAGATAGTTCTTTCATTTTTGCTAATTTCTGTTATTAGAATATTAAAAGAAACCCCAGAGTAATGATATATATATTTCTAATGAAAAGGGACCTATATCAAAAGGGTGTGGTTTGTATAGCGTGGAGGCTTTAAACAATCAAAGTAAAGCCCACCTTCAAATAATATCAAGAAATGTAGATTCAATAATGGAAATCTTTGTGATAGCAATATATTTTTATTTTTAATGATAAAATTTAAAGCCCCAAAAATATTGTTGATCGAGCAGATCTATGAAAACTTGAAAATCGTGAAAATTGACAGTCCAAAATGCATTACAAGATGCACTATTTACAAAAATTGAAGTCCATTTTTTTCTCATGCCCATGCATCTTGATGTCGAGATGATCATTTTGAGGATATTTGGGCATCAAAACAACCTTTTTCTCATGTCTATGCATCTTAAGAGTTTTTTTTAGCTGTCTCATTTTTATTTGGACTATTACTTCTCTCATGTTCTCATCTTCTCCACTTATTTATAAGCATTAGAATGTCTTGACTTATTGAAAATTTTTAACCACATGTTGCCCCACATTTTGTGTTTGTTTAGAGGAGGTCCCTTACATTTCCTTTCACCTTTGCCCTTCTTGTGAGGTAGCAGCCCATGTGTCTTGCTCCAAAGATGTGGCAAAAGATTGTAAGTGTGTTGCTCAAGCTGGGTCATCTCAGTTGTTGTTGTTACTGTGATGAACCATGTGGTGTCCCATTCCTTGGTGCTTTTCCAACATGAAATTGCTTATGGTGCCACAGAGCCATACATATCCAATGTCATGCAAGCATGTCGAAGTAATCAGGAAATGTATGTGATTTGGGTCCACTTAGTAGACTCCTTCTTTCTCCACTATGTGTTTAAGGCAGTGAATGAGGAGAGGATTGGTGGTTGCAGGATATTGAGCTCTATTACTCAAGAGATTACATCATCGATGCATGGCCAGATTAGGAGGAGGCACAAGAGTAAAACCCACAACAAGTGTTCCTCTTTTTGTATCATTACAATTATATTTCAATTTTCATATCACTCTTACTTGTTTGGTAATGTATTGTAATGTGGATAGTAGGTTAAATAATATTAACGTATGTTAGTACAATTGGGTACAGTAATTAACTTTTGTTATTCTATACAGAAGAAAAGCTTTGTTTGGTGTGCCTTTGCTTATTGAAACTTGACATTGTCTCTCAAAAAAACTAGAAATTCTCCTAGACATACGTGTTGGTTGGGTTGCACTACTGCACCTATTCATATACATACTAATAATTGGGAATTATTGGGTAGGTGCCTCGATCTTGCCCTCCGGATCTAGGTGATCTGGCGGTATGCGTCTCGGGTTTCAAGGGAACCCGGGACTTGATATTGCTCTCTCGGGAACCTTGCTTAAGAACAAGAGCAAGTAGACTAACCGATGAGAGAGGAATTTAAGGTGGGTTCGAGACTTGCTCGGGCTGGCTCTCGTAGGCGCCCTCTTAGATCACGAAGAAAGCCCTCCAGTCGTAAAACTGGTTTGGAATCGTCTCCCTTGGCATGTATTCTCCTCTTTTCTGCAATCACACACATATGACAAATGTTACAAGACAGGTGGGTCAAGGGACCACACCTTGTCTTCAGGTGAACGTACACAGGCGTGCACATTCAAAAAGAGGAAGCGAAGAATGAGAGAAGAAAGATTGGGCCAGATGGTGAGACCAACACAATGACTAACTAGTAAGTAATTGATCTGGCGTGGCAGTAAAACAGGCTTGGTAACTCAGACTGGCTCAACAGAATTACTACTAGATGACAGTACCAATACTGAGTAGCTAGACACAATGGCTAATCTGTTATGGCAATAAAGCGGACACAGTAACTCCGACTGGCACAACGACATTAGGATGACAGAATTACCATTGAAGGCTAATCTCGACCCTTCTTAATCAAACGAGAGAGTAAGAGAGAGAGAAAAAAAGAAGAGAGAGAGAAGAGAGGATGAAGAAGATAAAAGAGAAGAAGAAACATAGGAGAGAAAACCATGAGAGGAGAAGAAGAGAGAGAACGGAAGGAAAGGAGGAGGAGGACATAGACGGGAATGAGAGGAGAGAGAAAACTCGGACTGTGATGGATTTCATCCGCTATGAAACAAAGAAAGAAGAGAGAGAAAGAATATAGGCAACAATGGACTTGCGTCGGCTGTGTCAAAAGAAAGAGGAGAGGAAAAGCTCAGACGGTGATGGCTTCCGCCGATTGTGAAAGAAGAGAAGAAAGAGAGAGAAACACAAGCAGCGATAGGCTCGCGTCGGCTGTGATTGAAAAAGAAGAAAGAAAGAGAACCCATGCTGTGCTTGGCTTGTGCCAGCTGTGACATAAGAGAAGAAAGAAAGAGAACCCACGTGGCGCTAGGCTTGCGCCGGCAGTGACAGAAGAGAAGAAAGAAAGAGAACCCAGGCGGCACTAGGCTTGCACCGACTGTGACAGAAGGGAAGAAAGAAAGAGAACCCAAGCGGCGCTAGGCTTGCGTCGGCTGTGACAAAAGAGAAGAAAGAAAGATAAGGATTGACGATTATAAGCTCACGCCATCTATGACAGAAGAGAAGAAAGAGAACGAGAAACATAGACGACAATAGATTCGCACCATCTATGGCGGAAGAGAAGAAAGAGAACGATAAACCAGGCGACGCTAGGCTTGCACCACTTGGGATAAGGCTTGGCTCACTGTTCATGTCTCAGGACCAGGAAGGCATCACATCAGGCGATAGGTCTGCCATGCATCTATGGAGAAAGAAAGAGGAATAAATAAAGAGGGGCATGATAGATCAGAGGAGGGAGAGAGAGAGAGAGAGAGAGATAAAGATAAAGATGAAAGCAGGAAAGAGAGGGAGTGACGAGAGAGAAATGAAGAGATAAAGACGAGGGAGAAAAGGGGAGAGAGAAAGAGATAGAGATGAGGAAAGAGGAGAGAGAAAATTACCTTATCGAGAGGTGCCGACCCTTTTCTTCTCTCTCCTCTCTCTCTCTTTGAGGCACACCCACGAACTCAAGCAGGAATTGAAATCTTTATTAAATGTTGAAGAATGAACTGAAGGTCCTTAGTGTTGTGTTTTAAAATTTGGCTTTGCATGTTTATACATGGGTGGACGCCCAAAAACTACCTAAAATTAAAGATAATTACAATTTAATTGAATTAAAATAAATTCTAAAAATGGGTGCAAAAAGATTGTTTTGCCCCTGCCTAACAATGTATGGAAGTTCATAACAGTCCCTTGCTGCTACCCGAGAACTTGGGTGATCTTCCATGACTGATCCAGAGTTACTCTGATGCCCGTTTGATCGAAAGATAATTGTTTTCTTGTAGGGCTCGGCATGGCGATCAATTTGATACCAATTTCGAGTCATAAATCATGTTTCTAAATCATGATCAAGAAACTTGAAATTTGCTTGAATATTGAAAACTTTGGATCGATAGTGTGCTTGTTTCTTGATGGTTTTCCATGATTTCTTCGTTCAATCACACTGAGCATGCCTGCACGATCACCTTGAAATAAACGCAGCTCAATTTCGTGTCC